GTTTGGCACGACCTAAATCCTCACATCTTCCAGGCTATTTATGTGATCGTTTCGCACGAATGTAAGCCCTAATAAATAAAATTGGCAGGATGAAACACCTAAATATTTCTCCTCAAAACTGAAGCCAAACATTAGGATAGCTTGGGAAGTCACCAGAGTTTTTCTCTAGATCCATGACATCCCCTAGTTCTTCCTCCTTTGGATTCTACAATAAAATATTTCAAATTTAAACCAATCTCCTTTCACACCTCTACGTCAGATTTCGTTGTAGAGACCTACCCTTTGAAATTCCTTAAAGATAATATTTCTTGATTTTTATTGAGAGTCTTCTTAGGTGGCTTTGGTCGTTTAAGATGTAATTAACTATAGGGGCTTGCCCTTATAGGAAGCATGTCCGAACCCTGCTTAATATAAACCCTATTTAATCTTTTATACTAAATAGGGGAATTTATCGGCAAATACAAAGGTTTCGTAGACCAGACGGACGTCATACTTTCCCTAGTTAATTTGATCGAGTCTCATCCTCAAGTCTTGTGTTTAGCATTTGGGATAGATACAAGATTTGAGGTATAGTGCTCTTTCATTTTAAACTATGAAAAATATGGGGTCAGTTTGATTTCATACTTCAACTTCCTTTCGAAGCAGGCGATGGGATTTTGATGCCAACGACCGACAGCTTCTTACGGGCAACTCCCCATAAACCGACCCGAAACAACGCCGACAGCTTCTGGCGACTCCACTCGGGACAAGCTTTTCTCTCCGCACAAATCAAAAAAATTTATCTTCACACATCGTTAATATGTCCTCGTGCCTCTTGGACAAAATTACCCTTCTTTTGTTGACATACTTTACCCATTTTTATATTGGGAAAGTACAGCCAACTCTTTGGACTTCAGCACTAGCTGTTCAACCATCTTTGAACAGAGGGGTTCAGAAGGCCATTAAGGACTCCTTAAATTTTTATATGGTGTCGGATCTCCAATAGGTGCGTCGGTGGACTAATTCTTCCTGGGCATTCTTTACCCCTAATTGGGTCCTGCACTGGGTCCTAAAATTTCTTCACATCTCCCTTCCGAATTTGATTTGCTATTTCATAAAATTAAACCAAATTGTGTTGTGTTGCGTGCACTTTAAAAGTTTCTTATATGAATTAAATTTTACACCTTTTTAAACAAAAATGTTAAAAAAATACCCATAAATTAAGACCCGCCCGGTCTACAGATCAACCTCTACTTTCAGTGCTTTCACTAAAAAATTACGAGGTTTTTGGCCATATAGCTAACCCTAAAACTTTTTGTTTTAAAGCCCAATACAATGGCCTACCCAACGCTGACCTTTTCCTGCAACCTGCCGACGGACCGTAATACCCGTAACATTGCTCCCACCATCAAGTTCAGAACTGGGTTTGAAGACCTCGAGGTTATCCTTGGGAAAGCCCCATTCGTGGTAATGAAGATCGCTGCTCCAGAAATGCAAGAACCGTCTGCAGAATTCAACTTGAACTGCCTTCAGGACTTCTCTGCCTGCAAAAAGGCTAAAGCTACTGCCATCACGATACCAGTCAAGCCTGCTATCCCTACTGCTGCTAAGGGGAAAGAGGTGATGATCGTTAAAGATTCAACTGAAGGGTTAACTTTCCCACCACCCGTGTTTGAAGTCGGATCGAGCTCAAGAACTGTACCACTGACCGGAACTAAAAGGAGGAACCGTAATAGAAGAGTTCGGAGGGCCATCAAAGCCTAGACTCCTGAAAACACACCCGTTGAGGAGGAGACTCATCAAATTGAAGAGGTGTTACCAGAAATTTCTCCACTCCTACGAGGGAGTAGAGTCCATCCTCTGATGGATACCGATGGATATGAGAGTGTCCAGAAAATTGCTGCCGCATTAACATCACTTTGTGGACACGGTGAGGAAGAAAGGAAGTTCACTCCTATCACCCGAGTTAGTGCAGTTTTCAGAAGGCTTGCTACTAAGCAAGGATGTTCTGTTAGTGAGTTACTTAAACGAGTGGGACATGCAATTTCCCCTCATATGAAAAAAGAAATTTTGAAGGATGTTAAGTCCATTAGAAAGTTTCATAAGTCGACTGTAAAGTCACCTACCCGTATTCCCGTCTGGTTCCTTTTGGGAAACCGAGTTGATACTGCTATAGTCACCACCGATCATACCACCACTAGGACCACAGGTCGCTGGCCGATTAAGTCGAGACTAGGTCTAAGGAGCTTACTCGTCATTCCTGCAATCCCGGAATGAAAAAAAAGACGATTACCCGACACTGTAGCCGGTCCACACCATGGGGAACATACCTTCCCTCGACATACCATGTCTCTACTAAGACATCCCGTCCTGAGACATCATCGTCAAAGAAGAAAAGGGTATGGGTACCCAAGGTCACTGCACTGATACATTTCAGTGAGCCTGCAAGGCAGAAAGTGAAACCAGTGCCTAAAATATCTGACATCATCGTGACAATAGCTAGCGAGATGGAGGAACAAATAGAGGATGTCCATCAAGGTCTTCCAGATCTTAAAGGATCTTAAAGCAATCAAGAATAATTGAGGAATAAGTTGAGAAACTCAGGATCGAGATTTCTGAGTTAGCTCGAGAGCACGGAGTTTCTGTCAATAGTGACGATGAAGATTTTAATTATAGTGATTACTTGGAAGAGGATTTCATGGATGTCCATGTAATTGAAACCAGAGCTACCACATCTGCGCGCGAGGCTCAACCCCACACCGAAGAGAACGCCATAGATGAGCTGCGTAAGGTTATCCTCTTAAGGGATGAACAAGTCAGACTACTGGAGAAAAGAATAGAAGAGATGACTGCAGCTATGACCGCCATGGCCACCATTCATGGGCAATCACAAGCACCAAGATTGGCTTCTCCTTGGCTGGCTTCTCCAGAGATTAATCAGCCAGAAATCATACACATCGCAGATGAAAGAAGGGAGGCTACTTCGACACCCAAAGATGAACAACCAAAGTAGGATTCTCCGTTAGGTGCCATGCTAGAAAAAGAGTTCAAGCAAATGGT